ACTCACTGTCAACTACCAGATGTCTTCATGTCTTGAACTATGGTAACTTGCCTTCTGGTTGTGTGGTCCAACAGGTGATTTAAAAGAAATTTTGTAAGGCTGCAATAGTGGTTTTGTACATTGCAGGCCTTCAGCTCTTGATGGTAAGCTGGACTTAGAAGTAATTGTTACTCTCTTGTCAAGCAAATCCAAGTAATTTTGAAAGCCAGGGTTTATGGACATTATTCTGATTGCATTTAGGAAGAGGAATGAAATTATTTTATTTGTAAGGATTCAGTGTTTAATTAGCACACTTGTTTTACTAAACTCAATTGTAGGGATATGATATATTTGCCTGCCTTTTGGAAATTGACACTTGAAATGTTACTGTGCTAAAGATGTTGAACTAAAAGTGCAGCAGGAGATTAAGCAAACTTGCTTTTGGGGGACCATGTCAGTAAAATATTTTCGTTATCAATACAGCACTAGAAATGAAAAACCTACCTAACTTTACTCTCCAGATCAACTTTCACCTTCTACTACCTTCAGATACAGTTTAATCATTATGAGACCCCTTTTCCTTCCTTGGTGAAAGCAGGACAGTCAATAGAATCCCTTCTCTTTTCTTTACACAAAGCACATCTCCCTTATGATGAACAAGACGTAGAATTTCTTTTCCCCATAGAAAAAAATATTTCTCCTTCAAGTTTCTGTCTGTTCATGTAGGCTTCACAGTGAGGGTGTCAGAAGCCACAGCATAAAGTTAGATTGGAAAAATTAATTTCCCACTGTGGATACTAATAAATGGAAGTTTGCAATTAAATCAGATCATAACTAAAAATTGTCTATTCATAGCAGTTAACAGAACAAAATTTGCTGGCAACAATTCCAACACCTACCCTATTACTTTACTGTGCACTACAGATTGCTTTCTCTGCTTTTTTAATTCTCTACTTTTATTCCTTTATCTGACTTGCTTCCCAACAATACAGCTCAGAGATACTGCATTGTGCTCCATTTCATTTCTGCAAATATCACAGCTGGTGTCACCCTCTGTGAAGACCACTTGATCACCTTCGTGGATTCTCCAAATCTCAGAGAACTACGGAAAAAGATTGGACCATCTAATTAAAGTCTTTTAGCATTATTGTCTGACAATTCCCTGTCATGATTCTGAAGTCTTGCACGTTTACAACTATTTCACACTTTTTTTTTCCCTGGTTTGTTAACTGATGCTCTAAAATCAACTGCTTTCTCAGTTCAGTCTATTCTGTCTGTGCATTTGACATCTACGCTTAAACAGTGATAAACAAACCATTACAACTCCATACATAGAATACTGTGCCACATATCTCTTACTGATAAAACATTGAACCTCCAATGGCAGAAACATGAAAGACTTATGCAAGACACATCAAACCAAGTTGCAGTACTCTCTATGTGAATTGGAAGGTCTAAAAATAATTTCAAAGCCCTATTTAGGTAGTGACTACTTAAGGCCTGATCAAGGTTGTATCTATGAATTTTTAAAAACAGTTATATTTTTGAGTAAATACCTAGAATTTCTTCTTTTATATATAATTTCAGTTTCTGAGACTCTAACTGTATATGGCTGTGCCATTTATTTTAGCTATAACATTTGGTGCAATCTCAGCTTTTCTATTCTGTTAAAACTTAAGAGAAATTATTCTTACTTAATTCTGTCAGTTTATTTCTTTGCAAGGAAAAGAAAATTTTGGCCCTTTATGGTTATAATTTACTGAGGATGAGAAAATGGAGGTAGTGAGGGTGAATCATCACATCTGCTGTTCTTTCATTTAATAAGAACAAACCTTCGAAAGCATAATTGGGCAGTCCTTAGACAGAATGATCAGTGATCCTTCACTATGTCTAATTAAATGTTTACTAAGACCATCAATAAGAATCTGGATGTACAAAATCTAAAAAGAAGGAACACATTGTGGTATCTGTTGGAAATAACAGTAATTTTTTCTTGCTTTCCTCCATAAGATAGATGACCTACTGAGATAAATGCAGGGATTTCATTGAAATTGGGAAGAAATTTAATCTTCTATCTGGGTTTCCCTGAATCTATTTTATGTGTGCAGGAAAATGGGAGTCACTGTCTCCAGGGTAAGCAGATTGGTTGCTGCTGACAACAGCACACTACAGCTGCTGTTAGCAGAAACCAGGACCCACGAATCCAGTGATTCAGCTGTACTTGAATGGCTGATGGCTCCTCGTGTAAAATCTCAAAAAACTTTTCATATCGGATTTGATAAAGATATTCCAATTTTACTTCCATCTGGAATCAAGTGTAAGTGTAAAAACCTTAACCTAGCCAGATCTAATTGCAGATTTGAAGGTAGTTCTCAGGAAGCAAAGCAATGTTTGCTCTTCGATTTTGGTGGCCAGAAAGTTACAGTTCAGAACTATGGGTATGAAAGAGGAGAGTAGGAATGACGTGAGCAATTTTTTTTGCATCAATGTGAAGGAGATGCCAAATGGAAGAAATTGTTTTCCATAATTTGTTCTTTACTATATCAAATGAACATCTTCAATAATCTCCAGAGTCATTATTCAAAGTGAAGCATTTGGCATAATATTTTCATAAATACTTTCCACATCTACAAAAATGTTTCAGTCAAACAAAAGTTGTAATAAGGTAAATGCTGTTTTAAACTTATCTACTACACTTTGTTAAAACTTTTTAATGCTGAAAAGTTCAGCAAGGTAGGGAATGGAATATGTAATTCTGATCTGAGTGAGTCTTGTGGAAACACTGGGGAAGATACTTCAGGAAGCAATTTAGCAGTCAGCATGTAGCAAAGATGAGAATAATTATCAAACAGCTGTATATATTCCAAAGACTTATGCTGTGATCGAGTTAGCATGCTGATGGCATAGAATGTCATATCATATCAGGCTTCCATTACAACAAATCTGGCAGCACTTTAAATCCACGAACCACTATGCAAAATGTAACATCAGTGTCAACTTCTCAAGTTTTCAGGACGGCAGCAGAAGAGATCTTCCTCAGTAGGGTGTAACTGTGTGATCCAGTTGCTGTCTGGGAAATCTATTATATTTAAGAACTATCCAAGAAAGCATCCCAAAGTGAGCAAGAAATCGTTATAATATCCACCCATTGAATAAAAAGAAGCAGTAAACCTAACTCCTGAATCACTGATTTAGAATAAAACACATAGGGATGAAGACAACCCAAAGGGAGGTTTTGCTAACACAGTATAAATAAAACATACTGCTCCTTTCATTTGGCTGCCCCAGATTTCTGTCATGTTTCTTGAAATTTGGTGGTACAGTTACTAAAACCTTCTCCTAGATGAGGGCAATGGTTGGAAAAGAGGATTTCAAAGCACCAAAAACAGGGACATTCATGCAGCTCACACATACCAGATCCTCCCCACAAGCCTTCACCATCTTTCAACACCACATTGAAATATGTCACAAATTCAGGGTGAGATGGGAGCCCAAACTTCTAAATTTACTTGTTTACTATTTTTTTTAATAACACTTGAAAGATTCTTCTATCGTAGTCACTACCAAAAGAGTAAATGAACTTCTGAGTTAAAACTACACTAAATAATGACTTTCATTTTTAATGAGAAAGTAAATAGAAAATGCTTGGAAATACTGTACCATTTCATTTGTAAGCTAACTAATAACACAGCCTGCTTCAGAAAATGCTTCCTAACTACATGTAAAGCCCTGTATAAACATAGATATCAGATATGCCTTTCTAAAAGCCATCTGCAATTGGATTACAGGCTTTTTGGTTACATTTTCTGCGGTGTTTTGCTTTAGGTGAGGCTGAGTCCTGACTCTTTTCAGCTGCTCTGAGCTGCTAAACATGTATCATACAATATACAACATGTATCCTCTATTTCCGCATCTTGGTGGGAGGAAGGGAGGCAGCACAGCTTTCAGGATTCTCTCAAACACTGTTATACTACCCCTTTTTTTTTCTTCCCCAAAAAGCCCTGACAAAAAAGGACAGTCAAACGGTATGGAAATGTTCCCGATATTAAACCAGAAGAGCCAGAAAGACAATTGCTGGGAGCAGTAAGGCAAGTGTTTAAAATCAATTTGCTGTGACTTGCATGAGTTCTGATGTAATTAGAGGTTCTCCAGTCTGAATAGAAATACAGTACTTATATTCAGCGACTTGGCTTTTTAAAATTTTTAAATTTTTTTTTTTAACACTAATGCTTAAGGTTCCGATATGTAATTCATTTCCAAGACACCATACATTCAATTTGTCTTACACAGGCTGCAGAGTAGCAGATTCTGTGCTTTACCGTAATAAAAAGAAGTTTTTTCTGCCGCCACCAAAAAAAAAAATCCCAAAAAAGGACAGAACGAAACATTTCGCAAAGTCTGCACACAAAGCGCAGCGCCGCAGTGCCAACACCCCGGCGCGGGGCAGCCGCGGCTCGGCGGGCGGCGGGGCGGGCGGAGCTCCGGGCTGGGGGGCGGCGGCTCCAGGAGCTCTCCCGGGGGGCTCCCGCCGGGGCACAGGAGCTGCGGCCGCCGGCACCAGCCCCGGAGCGGGCCCGGCAGCGCCCGAGCGAGCCGGCGCTCTCCGCGTTCCGCCAGCGCCAGGACTACAGCTCCCGGCTGTCCCCGGGGCGCGGCCGCCCGCTGTCCGCGGGGCGCCCGGGAAGCGCGGCCGGTGCCGTGCGTTCCGCTGGGCGCCGCCCGGGCCGGGGCCCCGCGGAGCGCAGCGGGCGGGGCGGGGCGGCCGCAGCGCGGCGGGCGGCAGGCGGAGCGCGGCTCCCCCCGCGCCCAGGGGCGGGAGCGCGGCGCCGGCCCCGCCCGTGGCGCTCCGTGGAGCTGTTCAGCGCCCAGGTGCTGAGTCTCCCCGCGGCTTACGGAGGCTCCGGCGGCGTTCCCTTCCCACCGCTCCCCGGTGCGGCCATGGCCCCGGCGCTCAGCCGCCTCCGCCAGGCGTTCTGAGCGCCCGCCCGCCCGCCGCGCCCCGGCGTGGATGCAGCAGCTCCAGGCGCCCCTGGCTCCGCGGGGGAAGGCGGCAGGTAAAGCCTTTCCCTCCCCGCCCATCCGCATTGCATCCCCGCCCGCCCTCCGCTCGGAGCTGCCGGCTCGGGGGGCTTCGCCGAGCCGAGAGCCAGAGGCGCGAGTTGTGTGCGGGGAGCGAGCTCGGCGAGGCGGACCGCGGGGAACAAAGCGGTGCGGTCCAGATGCTTTCTGAGTAGTTTCGCTATTTTAGTTTCCGGGGAGAGGGGAAGGGAAGAGCGGGATGGGTGGTTAACTGCAAATACCTGTACTTAGATGTAGGGGGAAAATACCACCATGTATTTTAATTTGCTCATGGAATCACATTCCTATTCTCATGGTTCAGCAGGGTAAAAGATGTGTTTGTCATACAGGTAAGATAGTGCTGTAGTCAAGACTGCAAAATGGTTTCCTTGAGTACCCTCCTTAACTGTAATGCTTGTATAGATTTTGCACTGCAATAATTTCTTACTTCTTTCCGTGAGGATTGCCAGCCCCACTGAAGAGCTAGGACAAGCAGCAGAAGGTCAGAGTAGCAGCCACCGTGTTTCTGTGACAAGGTGTCAGAAAAAGAGAGGAAAAAATTCCACTGTATTTAAGGCCAAATGGCAAGTTGCATCCTACATGAAGTCATTTACAGCCAAGCATTGTGCTGTTATGCCTGATGCTTCAGGCTTCCTCTTAGTGCTGGGTGATGAATAGGGAATTGAGCAAGCATATTAACCATGCATAATCAAGCAGCAAGTGTTCTTCACTGCTTGTATGTGTAGTACCTTCTGTCACAGGATCAGCAAGTATTCCTGAGCTATCAAAAGACTGTTTCACTCTAAATTGAGTAGGATGCAGCTGCTCCCTTTTCCTGTTGTTTGTAAGACAGGTTAACTTACAGTTCTGAGAGTGGCAGGGGAAGGGGAAGCCTGGCAAAACAAAAACTCAGCACTTTTCTCAGGTGTAGATGGTGAGAAAAGTTTAACTGAGCAGACTGCATGGAGTCAGACCAGGAACTTGTACAGTTTCTGTGCTGATTTTCAAAAGAAACTGAAGGACCAAAGTAATATTTAAAAATTGCTCCCTTTAGAAAATCAAATGCAGTCTAATTAACATACTCTTAGCACTTTGCCTTAACTTATTTCTGCCCTGTATCTAGAATTTCTTTGTTTATTGAGCATCTTCTGCTCCCCATGTTACTGTATCATTGTCAGAAGAAAAGAGCCAGAAAAACAATTGCAGGGAGCAGTAAGGTAAGTGTTTAAAAGCAAAACTGTCGGACTCACATAAATTCTCATAATATTAAAGATTCTCCAGTCTGGACAGAAACAGTACTTTTCATTTTCATTGACTTGGCTTTCTTTTTTAATTTTTTTTTTTTTTTTTTGTAGTAATGATTAGTGTTCAGGTGTGTAATTCATTTATAAGATAGCGTGCATTCAATTTGTCTTTTAGAGCTGCAGATTAACAGATTTTGTGCTTTAATGTAATAAAAAGAAGTTGAACAGGTTGAATGCAGTCTGACAGTCATCTCACATCCAAGAGCTCTCCTTCCAACAGGCACATTGGACATGCAGGGGCATAACATCTGGCTTTTAACAGTAGCCTTTTAGGGATCAATTGAGTTAATAATTACAATAGTGCTTTACTGTAAAATTAAAAATCAATTTGTGCACATGACTGTGTGCAAGGCAAGCTTCCCCTCACACCAGCAGAATTAGATTCCTGGCACAGCTCCTCCCTACCTCTGCCTTTTAGTCTAAGCACCATCGAAGCCTCAGAGCACGTGATCAGCTATGTGTGATTTAAGCGATGCTATTGAATTTTTTCCACAGGGAACAATTACTATAGAGTGACAAGTCAACCATTTTGATCTTAACAGATCCAGCTCTGTTTAGTGATGGTAACCATAGCATACTCTGCCTAACCCAGTCTGAATATCTCACTGTAGCAGTGTGCTTCTAATTTAAAAGGACACTGTTAAACCTTAAAATAGGTTCTCATTTTTGTGTAGGAATAAGTGGCTTTATAACAGAAGGACATTGTAGATATTTCAGCTCTATATTTGCAGTTGCTGCTGCCTGCAACAGCCCTCAAGAAGCCACTAAAATATGAGAGAAGCTAAGCAGCATGCTCTGACCACACCCCTACATTGCCATAATTCATACACCGACACTCTGTGCTTGCTGCCACATTCATATTTCTACCTGGTCAGTTAGGACAAAGACAAAGCTGCTTTGTCCTGATGAAGCCAGTGCAGCATGCTTTTAATAGAGCCAATGATCTGGGCTTCCCAAAATATATTAAAAAGGACTCTTGTATTCCCCAACATTGTTTATGCTAAAGGCTATTGCAAATAGAATATTTCTGCTAATTACTTGTATGTCAGCTTGGGCAATAAACAATCAATATTTTACTCATGTAGGATCCACTGCAACTTTCTGTTGTCCAGTTATCATGCATTCAGCACAGTAAATTAAATCTCAAGTTGCAATTTCTTTGTGGAAATGTTTATTTGAACTTCCAAAGGAGACTGCTGAAGTCATGGAAATGTTTCCATTATACTTAAGTAAAAGTGTATTTTTCAAAAAGGCTTGCACAGAAACCTGGCCTGGATATATTTTTAATGTTAGAGCCACTGCTATGATCACACTATACAGCAACACAGTAAGGGTAGGGGCTTTATAAGGATTAAAAAAATCCTTATAACCATAATCTGTACAAAAATGCTATAGTTAATAATCAACATGTGCTATAGAAAAGCAGATACTTTTAAACTGCTGTCTGTATGAAGGAGACTGACAGGACACATACCTTTATATGATATGGATAATCAAAATACTCTGTATTGCCTAAACATCTTTTAAATATTGTCCTCTAGGTATGGCTGAGATGGCTTATGTATTCTCTACTCTCCAAAAAGAGAAAAAATAATTTTATGTATTGTATAGTGCCAATTTTCTGCTTCAATTCTAGCAATTCTTGGCATTAAACATAACTAGATTTTACTTATCCCCATAAATGCCTGTACATTTCATATGATACTCCCAAGTCTACTCTTTAAAAAAGGCATTTAAATGCACACTGCAATAAGCAATTATATACTGCTTCATTTTAGAAAGGGCCTGCTAACTAAAAAGCAGCAATCCCAGTGACTTCCTTCAAGTAGCAAGTAATATTTTCAGTGATTTTTGAAGGCATAGCTTCTAACTTCTACATATTTGACCATAGTGTTTAAGTATTTGTTTTAAGTTCTTGAAACACTCCACAACAGAAGAAAATTGTAGCTGCACCTCAGGCATTATTGCTGTAATCATGTACTTTTATGTCTCATAGGTCAAAGCCACTCTAAAATCTGGGAAAATGTTAGACTGTGATTGAATTGTGACATTGTTGTAAAAAGGGGCAATCCATAATTTGAGCTGACAGCACAATGCTGACAAGATTTGCAGAAATATTCACTTCCATTTTATTTTCTCTTGAACAAGTAGTTGCTGAGAAATGGGCAGTTTGGAGACAGTATTTATGTAGAATTGCAATGAATACAGGATTTTCCTCCTTGAGTAAATTCTACTCAGCTTTGTTTCTAGTGCTTGGGATGGGAGCAAGAGGAGGAAAAATATGGGACAGAGGGCAAGCCCTGCACATACAGTTGTGCTTATCCACTGGGAAGTCACCAGATTTTGGTGATTCCTGACTTGGTCATACATATCATCCTGCCCTTTGAGGGCTCTACTGTCACAGCCACTCAGCTTTTACTCTGAAAGGAGGCAGAATGCTGTCATACCTTAAAGAAGTGCCCAGCAAACATCCTCCTGAGTCAAAGCAGGAGCAAGCAATTTCATGATTATAGAAAATCCCGGTGAATGTGAGGAGATGGAGAAATCTTTCAGTCTTGAATCTTGTGCTGCAAGTTTGAGGTTTAACAAGCATATTTAAAGAACAGAAAGCTCACTCAGTGTGAGCTGACCCCAGTCTCCTCAGTGGGAATAAGTGCCTGGGCAGAATGCCTGCTCCTCTGTCAGTGATGATTATTCTCTCTGACCTAATACCTGATACTTTGCATTCGTCACTCATCTGCTGTTTAACAGAGCAGAGGTGACGAACTTGGACTAGCACCTGTTTGCAAGAACTGCATGAAACAATTTGTTCTGTTATTTTTCAGATTTTTTGCCTTTTTTTGAGATGTGTCTGAGGCTGCTATCAAAAAATTACACTTGGGGTTTTTTTAGATCTCTTGCTACTTGTCCTCAAAAAATGCATCTTGATGAAATTTGCAAATACAGACAGTATTTGAAATATTCCACATGAAACACACAAGACAAATTATTGAAAATTTCTGAAACAAACAGAATCTCCATTAGTTTCCATTTAAGATGGTTACACAGTCTTCTTTGCTGTCTCAAGGAGTACAGTTAAGGAAGAAGTTTAACGTGGGTTTACTGTACAATCACACCCCCACTCCCTTGTCTTCTAAAAGGCATCAACTTGAACAGTATTCTATTACTGTTACATAATTTCAAAGTTGAACCACATACAGCTGCTTAAATCTGAAAGCTGAGATAATAAATGCAAGACAAGTATTTTCTGAGGTACTTAAGACTTCTGTTAACTACTGTTCTTCAAGTACAATCTATTCCAGTATTAACAATAGCAAAAATACCCTTTAAAGTGACAAGCCATATCTGCCACTCAAAAGTACACAGGCTTTAAAATATTTTAAAACTGACTCAAGTAAAAGAGAGATAAAAACTGGATTCCATCTGTCCCTTTTGACTATTTCGAAATGAGTTAACATTGATTAACCCTTTTGCTTTAACACAGGGTTTTGAGTTCTTTCCCACCTATACTGTGCTTCAAGTACAGTAGAAGCTTTTCACTTTTAAGTAGGATGTCTTGCTTCAATCTTTTCTCTGCCAAAGGAAGAATTAAGTGGTCATTTTATTCCTTTCACTTACTCCAGACACTGGCACAGCCATACTGGAAAAAGGGGTAAAATTCCATAGCTTTTTTTTTGGTAACTGCGTTGCAA